GGGCTCCGGTGTGCAAAGCCCTCCAGCCAGCAGCCCCGTGGTGGCTGTGAGGCTCTGGGGGCAATGCTGCTTCTTGCTGCTGTCTGATGGCATCCAGCAGTGTGTGAGCACGCTGGCCTGAGGGCTTTTATTCAGCAGGCTGAGTTATTCCTCAGAGGAAAAAGTGTTTTCAAAGGGTGAGAGAAAGAACTCGGAATTGCTGTGCTTTTTTTTAAAGCCTGTGAGGAGTACTTCCTATGCAGGCTGGTTTTCACATTGTGTTTTCTTCCTTTCCTTTGGGACAAACACTACCTCTCTTTATCAGAAGGAAGGATGTAGTTGCTTACAGACCTGGGGGAGAGGGAGGCTGCCTCCGCTGTCTTTGTTGTATTCGTTTGTCATTTTTGTAGCCTGGTTTCTTAAGATAAGCAAAGCTTACACAGACAAGTCATCTGTTTGTCTCCCTACACAATTATTCTTGGATTTATTGGCAAATTTCATTCTAATTTTATAGAGGCGCTTGAGATATCAATGATGTGAGATTTCTATAAGTTTTAAGGAAATTATGATAGATAAGCAAGAAAGATTGCATTAGCATCCTTACTGTGGGACCAGCTAAAAAACTGGTCCCTTTGCATCACAGAATCCACACGGAAAAAAATAGATGCCTGTAATTCCACCATCTGTGGGGCTACTTACTTTAGTTTAAAAAAAAAAAAAAAAGTCTTATGTGCCAAGGGACATACAAAGTAAATAGTTTATTGTCAAGACGTGTCTAATGCTAAATTACATATACAAGTGGGTGCATGGAGGGTATGCTTTGGAGGAAGGGTAACAGTGCAGCTGCTTCAATGGACAAGAGTTCTCTTATTTGAAAGTGAGCTGCTCAGGTGAGGGTGGTGCCACTGCAGCATCTATATTATTCCCAGCCTCCTCGTGTTGCAAACGTTCATCAAGATCAACAGCATGAAGGGCAAGAGCACTAGTCGCAGAAAGGACAGCAGGTCAAAATCACTTTTGTCATCTCCTATAAATCTCATAGTTGTACCTTCAGGACTGAAAACGAAAACTGCCCAGTGTGCAGCTTCTGTGTGCAACAGCACAAGCCTTAAATTGCTGGCACTGCATTACCCCAGCGCTTGAAAACCCACTGTCCATATTTTTAACTACACTTAGGTTGCATACTGTCAAGGGAAGTTAGAAACTCCATCTCTTTGGATTCAATGATATTGATGATCCTTTAAATATCAGAGAGGTACTCACTCCGGGGTGTAGTAGCTCCCGGAATTTGACATGTGGGCCAGGAAGCTCCTCTGCGTTCATTTATCGTGGACTTATAGTCAGATGTTACAGATTGTTTCTATGGCAGAACAAGCTATTGCATGCTCCATTTTGTGACAGTTTAGGCTAGATAGCTAGAGTTTAAAAAAAAAAAAAAAAAAGTTTAGAAATTTTATCTTTTAAAAAACTGTTCTTAATATACCAGATGTCTGTGAGTAACATTTATGATGAGACTCCTGCCAGCCGAGAGCAAGCGGCCTGCCGAGAAATGACAGAAGCAGGGGAACATCTGCCACGGCGCATGCAAATGGCAGGTCTCAAGTGCACGTGGCCGTGATGGGGGAAAAAATTAACAGCAACCTTGGAGGATGCACCTGGCTTAGGTGAAATATCACACTGTTGAAATTAATAAAAGAACAGGAGTAGGTGCCCTGTGGTCTAAGAGAGCTTTTTTGGCAGAGGAATGCACCTGCCCTGCACCGTTTTTCTGTGAATAATAAGGTTATTAAACCCACTGGTGGCGGGATGTGTTTTAAATCTAAAATTGAAGGCTGCTTAGGTAGCTTAATGGGTAGGGACCTTTGCTACCTTACAGAAGGGCTGGTATTTCCATTCCCACCCTCAGTCCCTGATCCTACCTTACGATGTCAGTTCCTTACCACATAGCTCACTCCAAATCATCTATTTGACATGAGCAAGGGGAGTGGCGCTTGGCCTGATGGAAAACACTGCAGAGGCAGCACAGTCTCTAACAGAGGAGGAAGCAAACTGTATTGTTCCTGAGTGATCACTATATTGTATCTTGAAAAATAAATGTTGTCCAGCCTTTCTTTGCCCACCTCTACCAAACATTTTCCTTCTAGAAGTGGGAGGGCCGGAGGAGAGGGGTGTGTTTTAGATCTCCAGCAGGGAACATGAAAACTCACAGAATAAATGGCATTATCAAAATAATCAAAATTTTAATAGTAACGCTTTGGGACCCTAGTTCATTTTTAGCTGTGTCGTTTCTGCATCCCACTAGTGATCAGACTAGATGACCTTTGGGATTTGGGATGTTTGGGTAGAGTGATTGGGCTTTATTGGCTGCCTCTGAGACACTCGTTACTGGGTTTATAAAAATGGGCAGTACAGCACAGTACATGTATACCCAGGGTGTTTTACTGGAGTTTCATATGTCTACATACTTTGCAACCACTGTACCTGTTACAGAGTCTCCATGAGTGGTTTGTGAGTGCTAATGGGGCCTGGAAGAACGTTTTGTTCAACTACAACTCTTGACTTTGGCTGTTCTTGACTTTCAGAGGGAAACTTTAGGAAAACAAGTGGCTGAGGAGAGACTTGTCTGCTGTCCCCTGGTACTACCAGTCCCAAAGCCTTCAGTCCCAAAGGATTCTTGTCATACATAGCACCACCATAGTGTTGGACCTTTGCAAGTCATTGCTTGCCGGGCTGCTTCCTGTTACTCTCTCCATAATTCAGGCCTTGGGGGTGTATGACACGAAATGGTGGGACAGTTACTCTTTGAATGCAAATGTATTACCTTTGCATGAACTCTTGCAGCCCAGGTAACATGGTAATAATAACTAGAGTGGTGCAGTGAGGTTTCTTTGGTAGCTGTGTGCGTGGCATAATAGAGAAATATATTATTAGCATGTGTTTTGGCTTGTGGCAATTTATCCACGTTTTTAACCTTGCTGTTGAAATTTTACACCTTTAATTACTATCTGTGTCAGAAAATGGATGTCACCTAAATGTTCCCCAACTCGTTACCACGCACTAATTAGCTCAGAAGACAGCTCTCATGAAACAGAAGCCCAGTAACATGTGGGGATGGTAAAACATGAGTTCAGCCAGAAGTCAAGGGGTCTGCTACAGTGGGGTCTGCATCATGGGATAAAATAGACAAGATTGTTTTAAATTACAGCTCCAAGTAAGTGTTACATGGGGTTCCTTTCCCTCTTGTTTCAAGATTTTCTCCATCTCCCCAAATGCAAAGGAAGATGGCAGCGATATTCAAAGTCTGATCTGTTGAGCTCAATTTATACGTTAACTTGTACGGAACTAGTAAGCTGTGCTTATCATTTAAGCTAACTTCCTAGGTTTCAGGCAAACAGTACCAGCTCACTCATACGTTTGCACGAAATACTACTGTCTGTGGGGACGCTGCTCTGTCTACTCACCTTGTTTTCATCTCACCTGTTTTAACGGTATCTCTGTTGTATTACGGTTGGCTGTTGATACTGGTGACTTAAAAGCCCTTTTCTGCTCCTGCTGACTGCTTAGGCTCAGTGGTTTACAAGGTCAAAATGGTTGTGCTGCCTTTCTTTGTGTGTGGCAAAGGCACACGATAAACCAGAATGCTTAACACAACCAAACAATTAAAACACACAGCCGCACACAGCCACTTAGTACACCAAAACCCTGATAAAGCATTTAAATGGAAACTCCAAAATGCATTTATACCCATGCCTTAATGATTCAACAAAATGCCAGCAGCTTGAGTGAGCTGTGAGAGTATAAGCTTGGGACCTGCAGGAAGCCTTGCTGGCTTTCTCTTTGTTTCAGCAGGCAAACAGAGCTTAGAGCACGGTTCACTCCTGTGGAGAGGATCAGCACAAAACATATGCATCTTGAAGACCTATTCTGAGGACTCAACCAGGACTTAATTGGTACATTTTGTGGTAGATTATTACCAGGCATGAATTTCACTTCAGCTGAGTACAACTCCAGACTAAGGGGTTTTGTTTGTTGGAGGCATTTGTTTTAAGGTCTTTATTTTCACGTTCAAGGAGAACAAGCTGAATTCTCTTTCCTGGCACTCCAGTAGAGTTGTTCAGTGATTCCCAGTGAATTATGCTTTTCAAATACTTTAAAAAACCTGAGGTTTCCATGGTGTCACTAAAAGGCATCATTTGAAGGGAATGTCATTGCTTTTGTGCAAGTCAAGGAGGAAATTACTCAGAGAATTTTCATTTTTACTGTGTTTCATGGGAAATAAAAAAAAATAAAGATGGCTTCACTCAAACACAGTGACCCCCACCTACATCTGCAGCAGTCACAGTCAGAGAAATTGTCTTTTCAGTTTGCATACTGAGTGACTGGAAAAGAAAGAGGCAGGGGCTGCTGGACTGTGCCATGCTGCTGCTCTTTCAGCTGCAGCACAGAACGATGCTTTCAGATGCAAGGTGGTCCAGATCTTATATCCAAGTAGCTCAAAACTCAAGTGCCACGCTACCTCTCCCTCAGGACAGCTGAGGGCAGCTGTGTTCCCAGGCTGTGAACATCTCCAGGCTGGCCCTGACCCTTCTGGATGAGATAATACAGGGGAAGTGGTGCTCCACACCGTGTAGCTAAATCAAGGATTACAGTCAGCAAGCCCCTGTTCCTAGCACAGCTCCTTGGGAAGCCTGTAAATTCTCATGTTTTCTTTTAAGGGGATGCCTGGAAGGCATTCCTGGTGAAGGCAGTGGCTGCTGTGACTAGTTTAATTAGTGCTTATGTGCACTAATTCTACTAAATTTAGCACCTGTGTCTGCTAATCTACCACCCAGCTGGAGGGCATTGGATATCAAAGGAAAAGGAAAAGTAATTGCTCCAGCCCTGGGGATTGAAAGTTAAAATTACGATGGAGAATTTAGTCAATTGACACGTTTTACCCTCTCAGAAATAAATAAATAATGGTTACAATTGCCTGGAAAACAACCAAGGTGTTGAATATCTGCATGATATGTACCCCCAGCACAATAGCTGGCATTACTGAATCATTTTCACATCGGGTCACAAGCAGGATTTCACAGATGGATCCCGTTAATTAACATATATTAGTTACCTAGAAGTAAGAGCATCCCATTTGTTCCTGTGTGTGGGCTCTCTAGTGGAGAAGCAAGGTCATTCAGCACATTGACTCTTGACACACAGTGTATGGGGACTGAAAACCCACCGTCACAACATCTCTGTGAGCAGGAAGGTAGGTGTATCCTCTTGTGTTGTTATCTGGAAGGGCACACGGTTAAATAGTTGAATGTTACTTTTCACACCCTCTCCAGAAGCTCTTAAAAACTTGTTTTCATCAGTTCCTAAGGGGTGTAAGTCTTCTGATAGCCTCAGAGGGATTGAGGGCAAATCCTCCCTGGAGTATCAGCTGTCTATAAGCAGCACAGGCCAAGCTGAACATCCCTAGAGCATGCTCTGATGCCTTTCATCCCTCCCTAAAAATTGTCTCCGTGAACCTGGGCTCCACACTCAAGCAAGACCTTTCTCAATGTGCTGTTTCCTCTTCTCCTGTAGCACGTTCCTGGGTGAGCAGCCATAGCCAATTTTCTCCCCACAGGTCCAAGGTGAGGAGAAAAGACCTGTCATCTGCCCAGCTCTCCTGTTTAAAAAAGAAAGACTTGTATTTTAAGGCTAGCTATGCTGACATAGCTGATTGAAAGGGGTTCCTATGGACAGACATGCAACAACTAACGTAAGGCACATAGCCTGCTATGCTATGCAGACCTCTCTGGAGATGTCCAGCTCTTACCCTTAGCTGCAGAGGTATATTAGGCTCCTAACTTCAGGCACCTATATGGCAGTTAAACTAGGTGCTGAAAAGGCAAGGGGGGATTGGATATTGCTCGCGATGCTTCCCACCACCAACAATTAGAATCAAATGCTAATTGCCTTTTGGAGTTTTTGAGGTACTTCAGCAGCCATAATTTATGCCTTGCTACACCAATAGTTCTGGAAAACATGGTTTTTGTCTCTGCTTGCCCTGGTTGGATTTTTTTTTTATTTTTTTTTTTTCAGCAGTGATGCCATTATTAAGAAAAGGGTAACAGCAGACTTTGTTTCTCTAACTGTACAGATTTCAGGTGTAAATTACTTGTAGCTAAGTGCCCAGAAAAGGCTTTCACCATTGCTGTTTTCCTTCTCTGGGGGACAAAGAATGCTCACATCTTCAAAGAGAAATTCTGGAGGTGCTGGGCTTTTGCATGACCCCACAAAACAAAGGAGATTCCTTGAAGAGAACAAAGAAAGTCAGTGATATGTTAAGTTTTCAGAGTTTCAGGGAGAAAAAGGAAAATGGCAAAGTCCTGATATATTAAACACCACACTTTATGTTGCTAAAACAAACAAACTTTGCACTGCAAAGTCATTATGCTGAACAAGATGAAAATACATCTTTAAGTGGAGATGTAGACTTGAAACTATTCAGCTGCTTTGTGTACAAGCAGCCTGTGACACCAGTGTTTCAAATGGTAGCAACAAATACTCAACCTCATTTGTTTAGAATGAGATAATGGAAGCCACGGCTCTTAAAGCCACAAGAAAAGTTTCAGGAAAAAAAAAAAAAAAGAAAGAAAGAAAAAGGAAAAAGAACTGAACTGTGGTTGGCAAAATTGCAGCACTTTTTAATAAAGTACAAGTGGTTCTGTGCCTGCTGTAGTGGGTAACAGCATGAATGCTCATGTAGCATTCCCTGGCTTATAGAAAATGGTTACAGGATCTGTATTATTCTTGCTAAAGCTAAGACTTACCAATTACTGAGATATTATGATGCTTCTTGTGAAATGGCAGCATGCAGCAGGCTTTGCAATCAGGCTGTCAGAGAAGGCTGTAAGCCCAAAACTTGGCATACTAGGAAACTGTTACAGAAGATACTGACTCAGGGGGTACTCTTAACTATGTTAATAGAATCTGGAAACAAAACTAAATTACATGTTTAGAGGAGAGGTAACATTTTGGGACATGAAGCATTACATATCTTGCACCCTTCTTCCCAGCGAAATATCCTGCCAGCAATGAAACAGTTGACTTTCTCAGAGTTTTATTGCACTGTGCTTGATGTGAGAGGTTGAAGGAGGTTCAGAAGTTCAGCAAAGACCCTAAAATGTACAGCAAAATTGATGGTACATTCCTTCCACACCTGAAGGGCTTAAATTTCTCTGTGATGTTGGATTAGATTTTAAAAGGAAGTTGCAAGCATTGTGGACTTCATCACAACCTTGTCACAAACCCTGCAAGGAATGGGCATGTTAATAAAAAAAAAAAAGGTGAATTTCTTGTTCACTCCAGTGCCCTGATGGATCAAATCCACCAGAAGAGTGTGAATCTGGATGGCATGAGAATTTTCATCCCTCTGAGGAACTGAATTATTTTGCTGCATACAGACCAGGAGAACCCAAATTCTGCAGAGTAGATGCCTAAATTCACCTCCTCCCAGGTATCACATATAATGTAAACTGCCCAATCTAAATGTGATCAAAGGCTCTTCAAAGCTGTTTTAAAACCCGAGAATGTCACACAGCCAATTGCACTGGAAATGCATGATAGGCTACAGATATATGGGTTGGACCTCAACCTCGTGCAACTGATGACTCAGCTTTGCCTGTTGCAAGCCAGCTATCAATTTGCAGAAGGTCACTGAGGTCCATTCCAAAATATTTTTTGTTCAGCCAAACCAAATGCTGATTGTTTTGCAAAAAGGTGAAGCTGATACTAATGTTTTCCATGATAGTAGCAGCCAACCCCAAAAATGAGAGGAATACAGATGCCTAATATCTGTCACAGCTCAGGAGTCTGCACCTCGTGCAATGAAAAGAAAAAAGGCAGCAGAGAAGTCTGATTTAAAGTTCACAGGAGTTTTAGGTAAATTCACGTAATGAAAACAGCAGCCTCTGAACTTCATCCAGCTTGGACTCTGCTCTTCTATTTGTGTTTTTAAAAGAAATAGCGATGAGCTTTGTACCGTGCTTACTTTGTCCACCTGTAATAAAAACGAGGAAAATAAATTTGGTCCTAAGGTTTAAAACTTGCAACCTGTAAACTTCTTCCTTTTTTAGTGTCAGCTACCACTCGATAAGCGCTGCACTGATTTGCCCTGTCTGAGTTGTGGGCAGGGCACTTCATTCCTGGCAAAGTGAACAACATAATTAGCATCTGCATTAACTAACTGGGTAAAAGTTTGTCCTCTGAGTGGAAAATAGTGGAAGGATGGGTTTAAGCAGCTAAGAATTAAAAATTAAAATAACTGACTCCAGGAGCGTTTTCCCATAGCAACATGCTTTTAAAAATAATTGAGAGAGGTTAAGAGAGAACTGCTGCATAATTATACAGATCCATCTTCATCCCGTGTCGGTGGGTTGTTAGTGCCAGAAATGGGGGCGTTGTAGGGGGGCCACAGGCACGGGGAACACAACCAAGAATGCTGCAGAGGAGAAGCTGAACTGGGCACCAGTTAGTCACCTGCTACAGGTAAGGTTTCGAAGATAACAAGGAGCCAGTGATGTGAATGGTGAGAATAATTGCTTGTCACCAAGTCAGGAGATCACAGATACCACTGTGAAGACAGCCTAACAGTGTCCCTCCTGCCTAAAGACCAGAAATAGTATTAAAGCTAATAAACATACAAGTCTTTTGTCAAAATCCCTCTGGCCAGGAACACTTGATCCCTATGGAAGGGAACTGGACATCAGCAACGTCCTGCCTGGGGTATTTTGGCAGGGCAGCTAAGCTGTGAGACACGCACGGCTGCTGCCAAGATAGGTTTGGCTCATTTCCTATCTCCTTCCAAACAGCCACGACACTGGTGGAGGCCTTTCATGTTCTCCCACGGCAAGGTCACAAGTGGGAACAATTTTCAACATCTGCAGTCACCCGTACAGGCTGTTTTTTAAATGCTTGTTACTTTTAACCCGTTGCCCAGTTCATTTCTTCCTGAGAAATATGGCAGAAACCCTGGCATGTCCGAAGAGAAATGCAGGTTTCCTAGCAAAACACAGACTCCTCACTGCCAATCGAGGCCACTGATGTTGCCTGTTCTGCTGGCTGACCTGCAGTGGACCAGCTGAGTGGGTACCATGGAGAAGCAAGGAAAGGCCGCAGCAAAAGCTGCAGCACTCGCCTCTTGTCCTCTGTCCTTTTGTCTTTTACCCACAAACAGAAACCTGGTGGGAATGAAAGTTTAATTTCCCTTTCCCCTGTCATCTTATACCAAGTTTGTTTCTTCACAGTATTGCTTACAATTTACTGTTTCCTTCCTTCCTTCCTTCCTTCCTTTATTTATTTATTTATTTATCTATTTATTTTTTAAGCCAAGCCTCCCCAAGCCAGGAATTGTTTCCCAGCTGACTCCCCCCTCACAGCATTTCTTCTCTCTCCAGGTGTAACCTCTCATTTTCCTCTGGCTGCTGCTGGCAGCTGTTCCCTCCTAGCAATATGTTTCTAACCAGATGCCTCTAGCTGCAGAGGAATTTGCCTTTTTCTGGCCGGCTGCTGTATTTTTGGGCTCCCCAGGCACAGCAGCATCAGTGGGGAGCAGAAAAGGCTGGGGTAAGTCTACAGAGGGCCATTTGGTGCAACACACTTCGTAGGGCCGAGGGCCCTCACCTTGAATGGGCACACTGGGTGAGCAAACATCCTGGTGAGCTGCACATGCTGGCTGCATCCAACCTGGTCCTGAGCAAAACTGGTTGCAGCTTCACCCTTTGCTTCAGGCACAGCAGGCTCTAGGGCTCCAGTGGTGTAAAACACAGAGCACTTTGGATGAACCCTCCTCACTTCTGTTTTATTCATTTCAGAAGCTCACGGGCTCCTCGACTTTAGGCTGCATATGTTCAGGCCAGAAATAAATAAATAAACTAGTGGTTAGGCCTGGAAAGACAAAGTCTGCTGGGCTGACCACGCTGCAGAGCCGTATTTGCACAAGGTGGTCTAGATTCTAAGTAGCTCTAGCAATGCAAGCCTCTTTTCTCTCAAATCTTTAAATGTTGATAGAAGATATAACCAAAATATTAAATACCATGCTATGATTTTTTTCCCCACCTTCCCTTCCCTTTTGTTTTTATGGCAGTTTTCATAACAATTTCATATATGGCAGTATTTCATAACAATTTTCTTGAGCAAAATCAACATGATCCTTCTCTGACTTGAGCTAATTAATGCTCTTATTTCCCTCTTAAACCATATGTGCACAGTCATGCTTGGTTTGTATGCGGAGAAAAGAGAATATGCTGCTCTGGAGATTTTTGAAAGGCTTTATTGAGGAGAACCCAAACCACAAGCTGAGCTGTGGGCCACTGGGGCAGGTGTCCTCTGTGGGTGGGCAATGAGAGTATCCTGCTTGGGCAGGTCAAATTTAGCAAGGTCTGCACTCGGTATCCCAGTAATTCCTGCCTGAGATTTAGGGTACAGCAGCGGTGAATGCCAGATAATGCATGAACAGATGGATGGATAGGATCGAGGATCTTGCTTTTTGTCCCTGTTGTAGCGGGGAATGTTGCCTTTTATTCCAAGATAGCCAGTGTTGTAGAGGACAGGAATTGCTTTTTGCTACCACTTTCTCAAAGCCTGTGTTTGCAGCAATGGCTAGTCACACCAGAAATGCTTTTTAGGGTCAGGTATTAGTTACTCAATTATCCTCCTTTGATGGTTATAGCTCTTGAAAGAGGATTTTCCTTCCCTGTCAGATGAGCTTGTGATTAACAGCAGATTTGGAGATACAGTCCCACATTGTTTAGCAAAGCATGGATCCAAGAAAGGATCCAAAGGTAGGATCCAGAAACCCAGATTTAGGACAACTGTACCTTCAGTATCATGAGCCCTCACTGTTCTCAGGGCACTCACATCTCAGGCAGCATCCTCTCCCATCCCACAGGGCAGTAACTGTGTGCAACACGGGGTCCACCGTGGGCACAAACTCATGGACAAGCTCCCTGCTCAACATCACATGTCTCGGTGACTGTCTAATTAAGATAAAAAATAATTTCTTTTTACCCTTCTCAGCCCCTCCACTGTGTGGGTGATGCCCCGTTTGGGCCAGCATTGAAGGACAGAATAGGCTCTGGTCTTGCTGCTATACCTTGGAGCTCACTCACCACCCAGGGATGCACGGCGAAACTGTTTGGACAACAGGTGAGTGGGAGCTTGCATGTACACTACGGGAGCAGGCATGGAAAGAAACACTCTCCATTGAGCATCTCTCTTATTCAGGTATAATAAAAAAGAAAAAATCAAAGGGAAATATTTCATGTGCAAATGAGTTTCTTGATTATATGTTCTATTCTTACTAAATATTCTGGTTTAGTCCTGCAAGGTTGGATCCTAGGTGATTAATACATTTGAGGCAATTAGGCTTTGAGCTGCCGTCCTTACATTTGTTTGGTTATTTTCTGTAGCACATACACACACTTGCACAGTTAGCCTGCATGCAAGGTGTAATTTGTCTGTCTGAGGGCTGCGCTTTGAGTCACTGAGTTTCCTCGGGGTATACTGATTCCTCTCCTCTGGAAGTCCTCATGGAGTATCCTAGGTGCTGCTTGTTTTTTGCATTCCCTTTAAAAATTGAGTTGTACTGTAAAAGTGGCAGTAACCATCTGCATGTAGCAGGCTGCGATTCTCTTTATAAGGTGAAAATGCACCCATCCTGCTCCTGAACTAAGGATTACTATTCCAGTCTCGGTATTTCTGTTAAGGATCTGTCAGCAGCCTTAGAGGAGGATGCAGAAAATATATACAATATATTTGCACTTGGTGATTTTCAACATCAGATGTTTGACTACAATCTCAAGACCAAGGGAGTGTAGACTTAATGCTGTTGGAAACTTTGGTCCTTCAAAGCAGGAAAAAAAGCAGTCTTGAAGACTGCATTTAATTTCATTTAATTCAATTGTTCATTTAATTTAATTTATTTAGTCCTAGTATTTGAAGATCTGTTAAAAATAAAAAAGCCACTGGACTCACTTAATTCCTACTTGATTTCCCTACGTTCCATTAAAGCATTCGTGTCTAAAAATTATACACACTGTATAACTCGTCTTGTGTAAGCACTCATTGGTTTTTGCATTGTTTTAACATATATGCACAGAGAAAAAGCCCAAATTAAAATGCCATGAAGAATGCAAAATCAGTCACTTGAAATTCAGGCACTACACAGGGTAAAACAGCTTGTGTAGAGCTAATTTGGCCTCTGTGTGTCTGTGTTCACATACTGTGTATGTTACATATATATATATATAATGCATATAATATTTGTGTTCTTACAGGGACGAAAGCCTTTAATTACATGACTACCTGCTGCTTTTTGCAGAGAGCACTTGCCTCGTTCAGTGAACAGGACAGACCTGCTTTGCATGTGGGTCACTTTACCGTGAAGGAGGCTGCTCCCTGTGCGACCCTGCCTCATTTATTGCAGAGGTGAATCACAAACGGGGTGGGAGGCTGCAAGGAGAGTCGAGGTGTGTCACTGCTTCTCCTGAGAATTAAATTCATCATTTAGAAAGTCAGCTGGATGACTGCTGACAGGTGTAGAAGTGTCTGAGCTGGCTCCTCAGCTCCCCTCGAGGAAAATTCTCCTGACAAGCTTACACAGTTTAAATAGCTGGTTAGAGTGAACTTAGCTTTTTTTACCCTACTGTGAAGTAGGGGGTGAAGGCAGGAGCTGTTCTGTAGGCAGACTGAAGGGGAAGTAATTTCTAGCAAGGAAATGGCTACAAGAAGCCGATGGAGGTCAGCTCTTCTGGTGGCACCCCTCTGTCTAGAAGAGAGCAACCTGGACCAAGTAGGGTAGAGCCGCCTTGGGTTTATCTTTCTTACGCTGCAGTCACTAATATTGTACATCGGGACTATCTTCATTAACCAAATTCACAACCTCATTAAAAAAATGGTAGCGTGGCAAGGTTTCTTTTTCATAAATCCAGGTTAGCTGTCTCTAATTATCTTACCCAGTTTTAATTCTTTATTAATCAAGTGCTGCATTGGCTGCTCCATCATTTTGCCCAGAAGTGATGTCAGGTTTCTCTCCCTTCCTCCAAGCCCCATTTGATGTTATTCCAGTTGCTTTTGTCTCAGTTTATGAGTGCGTGCCTTGAGACTCTGGAATCTGATTTACAAAAGCACTGCATATTCACGGTTGCCAAGAGGAGTTGTGCTTTGAAAATACAAAATGCTGCACCATGCTCAAGAATGCTAAACTGCTGGGAGCTGTGAGTTAGGCACACAAAACTTCATGGTTTTCACCTTAACCCATCTGTCTCTGGGCTTCCCATCAAGAAAGGAAGGTAATAATAATCATCATCTTATGGAGATAGAGTGAAAATAAATGCATTAATGTTTGTGAAACACGTGGATACTTCACAGGGAAAATTATAAAGAAGCCCATGAGGACATTAATCATTAGTTCTTGAGAGCAGGGTTTGAAGATAGTGCATTAAATAAGTCATGGGGCTCTATACTGTATGAAGAGAAAACAAAATATTGAATTGCTCCTCATTAAGACCCAGAGTCTCAAAGGGATTTTAAGTGCCTAATTCTTGCTGAGAATCAAGGCTTCTTAAGTGGTCATATATATATATATTTTTTTAATGATTATTTGTGTGTGTGTGTGACTGAAAAAATCAGGGGACCTGCAAAAAAAACGATCACTTAAGTATAGGTTGCATCATAACGCACATGTAATTAAATGTTTCATCAGAATGCATATGCACGAGATTTGGGACACAAATTAACATTGCCCAAACAATCTTAGTTGCAGCATTTAGCAACACCAGGTTGCTTGACTTTGCAACATTCACGATCTTTTCCAATAGTTACTGCATGGGCAATTTTATCTGGTTTTAGGTTAACAAACATCCCCAGCGGACAGAAGATGGGAGGCCTTCCTTTGCTGCACACCTCCCTGCACAGGGACAGACCTTTGCCAGCAGCCTGAATGGTGCAAGTAATGGGTTGTCATCTCCTGTTTGGATCAGCAGCAGGGAGGGACAGGACGCTTTGCCAGTGAGTTTCACTAATATTTGCTGACGCGGGAAGAATGGTGAAAGTTGGGTGTCTTTGGTTCAGCCCCAGGATCGGAGGCTTGTGCGCCTGTTCTACAAATGGCATAGCCCATTTTACCATTTTCAATTCATTCATCCTTCTTTCTGTTAATCTTGCCCCACACAGAGCCCTTGCAATACTGCCTTGACCTCCTGAACTGAAAAATTCCTGGATAAAGCCCTGTGTGCCCTGATCTGATCCCATAGCCAATCCCCCCATCAAGTGGAGGTAAGAACAGAGGCTTCCTGATCCCTTCCAACCTGAATTATCCAATGATCCTATGAACTCATCGTATTTTTCTCCATTACACAAATAGTCTGCATTCCAATAGCCTATTTTATTAATCAGTCTTTGCACCAAGTAGCTTTGATTTATCACATTGTCATAACTTCACCTCTACGGTATAGGATTCCTTTAGATAAAAAAGGCAACCAAGCATACATCCCATAAAACGGTAAAATATAGCCAGGGTTGTTATTATGTGGGATGAGGTTGTTGCAAATTCTATATAAAACGGGAATTTGTGCCAGGAGCTCTTCAAAGTGCCATGGCTGGCCTTCCAAGAATCTGGAAATGTCATCACCAAGGCTAAGGAACCTTGTTTTTTTCCTCCTCTCTGCGAACATGATGATATTTGTCTGGATCCTGGCTCTAAATCCTCCGAGCCGTGGCAGGGTGCCGAGAGGCAGGATGCTAGCTGTGCAACAGGAGGCTTGCTCTGGTCGGAGCAGCGCTCCCCATTTTCCAGCATTGGGACACACTGCCCCAGAGCTGAGGCCGCTCTGCATCGGGGCTATCTGCGTCATCTTCTAACAAAGAGGCACCCCAAAGATGCTACATCTGCTGTTGGGGGTCAGAGAGGCACTGGTTTAGAAGCCATGCTTTATCGTGAGAGGTAGCATCTCAGGAAGGAAAGGCCTGGCTCCATAATCTCAACTTCAGCATTTATTCATGTGTAGACTCCACCATGCAGTGGAGCATTCCCTTCAAAGTGTGGATGTTCCTCTCAAAATGTTTTTATTTTCCAATTCAAATCAAAATCAATTTTCACCAGAACACGTAATGACCCTTCTGTTATTTGAAAGATATTTTTTTCAGTGAAGTACTACCTCAGTACTACTTTTTTATCAAAAACATTTCTTAGCTACTAGAAATGTATTTTCTTTCCTTGGTTTGTCCTCAACCCTCTTGTACCCAGGAAGAGTCTCTGGAGGATCACTGTTTCAAGGGTGGGAAAACTACCGTGTAAAAACGTGTAACTCCCAGGAATATACCACTTCTGAAATTTTCAGTTCCAAACAAAATCACAGGATGTAGGAGTAGCCCAAAAGAGGTGTTTGGGATGAAGATGTTTGGTCAGCTGGAGTAATGGCTGTCACTGCTCATTATGTGCATTTCATTGCACTGGATGATTTTATTTTGTTTCTACAGGTTCTGTTTCTGCTCATTCACATTGCTCCTGTCTCTTCCTCTGAGGCCTTTTCCTTTCCCTCCTAGCTCTTCCAGATGTTTTCTGTTCTTTGCTTTTAGTCAAACTTCTCAAAGCTATAATTTGACCTCCATTCCCAAAGTCCCCTTGCATTTCTCCCTGCCAACTACAGGCCTTGCCCTTTGTGGAAAGAGAGTTAGTGGTACCAGGGAAGTGCTGGAAGACCTGTCCCATTGCAGAAGAGATGTAGGAAGGGTAGTGAGCAACCCATCCGGCTAAATCACGAGTTCCCAAAAGGAAGCATGGGGAAACTAGGTCAGGCTTCTACAGGATAAGCAAAGAAGTACTGGATAGCAAGAGCATGCAGGGACAAATGGAGAAAAGCCGATGCAAGAAATACAACTAACGAGAGCATGGCAAGCCATGAGAAATCATTCAGTAAGTACATCAGTGGTAAGAGGAAGTCAAAGGAAAGTGGATTAGTCATCAGAGAGAGAAAGCTACTGACTGATGCTGAGAAGGCTCCGGGTGCCTGATGCCTTTTTAGCACCAGTCTTTACTAAAAGATGTTGCTTGTTATCAGGTGATTGCCATAGCGCACATCAATGACAAAGGAAAAGGATTTCAGCCCCGACTAGGAGAGAACAAGGTGCGAAAGCATTTGGGTAATTTAGAGGTGCTCAAATCAAGGGGCTGGCTGGCCTTCAGGGGAGGGAGCTGAGAGAAATGCTCAAAGGATGCTGGAAACGTTGAGCTCAGAGAGGACGACCAAGGAACGTGTTGATGCAAACGAGCAAGAGTGGGGCCTCTCTTTGAAAAGACCATTTAAAATAAAAGTATATAATAATAATAATAATAATAATAAACGTAGCCCAGGCAGACGTTTTCTTCCCAGAAAGGCCCTAGTAAAAACAGCCAAATCGCCGGCAAACAGGCAGAAGGACAAAAGAGATAAGTAACCATTAACGTGCACTTGCCAAGAAGAAATCAGGTCGAGCTGACCAAATTTCCTTCGGCAACAGAAGAACTGACCCTGTTATGGAAGAAAGGAGCAACCTTAAGTTGAGCTCTGCACCCTCATTCATGAATGAAGGAGTTCGGTTTATGCAAAAAATGTTGGGTAGTGGGTATAAAATGCCCAAAACAGCAATTCTTGAAAGTGTGGCATGAGGATGTGCTAGCACGTCCAGCTGGCCAGTTGTTGGGAGGAGAAAGGAGGAGACCTCCCTGGGCAGGGGTAACAGGGCTGTTTCAGCAAGGAGTGGTCGAGTAAGTGTGAGACGCATCCCTGGGTGGGCTGTGGGTATTGGGGTGTCAGAGTGGGGCTGAGGGAAGCCACGTGGAAGGGATCTGGAGTCCATGGCAGTGGGGTGGCCTTTCTGGTGTCCTGTGCAAGAACTGAAAGGAGCTGAAGGGAAGGACAGACAAGGAGTTAACGGCGTACAGTAACTGGCTTGCAGAGACTGAATCAGGTAAATGGATGTCCACCACCGACTTGCTCTTCCATTTATATCCAGCAACGATGCCAACCTGCTACTAATGCACCCGAGTATTTTCTGCTCGCTAACCATGTTCATATGTACAAGTGCGTATTGATCTGTTGTCTCAAATAAAGAAAGAAATAAATAACTGCTCGGTAATGCACGGGCTGCTCTCCGCAATGCAAATAGTCTGAGGCGCTTAGGTGCTGAAGCGAATTGAGCTGAACACGAAAGTAACCTTCACACCTCAGAAACGACTCCGCCGCAGCTAAGGCGAGCTGCTGGCATTTATCTACATTCATTTTTTATTTATTTTTTATTTTTTTTTCCCTTACGTTGCACCGCGGCCTGCTGGAGGGGGCAACCGCGGCTCTCAGCGACCCCCCCCTCTCCCCGTACCCCCTTCTTCATCCCCCCCCGGGCCGCTCCTCCTCCTCCTCCCCCCCTCGCAGCGCCCCAGCCGCAGCCGCAGTGCACCGGGCAGGGCGCACCGCCCCCGGCACCATGCTCGCCCCGCTCCGCCGGCCCTGGCCCCGCCGGGGGGCGGCGCGGAGCCCCCCCCGGGGCCGCCCCCGCTCCCTCCCGGTCCCTCCCCCGGGGCCGAGCCGAGCCGGGCCGGGCCGGGCCGGGAGCAGGTGCCGGGGAGGCGTAGGGCGGAGCGAGGGGGGGGCCGTGCCGAGCCGTGCCGGCAGGTGGGGGCTCGGGGGGGTCCCCCCGGCGGTGCTGCGGGGCCAGGTGTGCGGGATGGGGGGCTGCGAGCCGCCCGCGGAGGGGGGCCGGGGGGTGCCGCTGCCGCTGCCGTCCCCGCCGCGGCCGCGGGGGGACCTTTAGCTGAGCTGGGAGCGGGGAAGCCGCAGCGGGAGCTGGTGTTTTCCTCCCCTCCTTCCTTCGCCTTGCCTCCCCTCCCTCCTCCTCCTCCTCCTCCTCCTCCTCCTCGCCCAAACCGGGAGAGGAGGCGTGTTCCCACAGCCTTGCTGCACCGGTTCTGCACGGCTCGCTGTCGCCTGCTTTGCTCCGCGGGGTAGCCGGGCGATTTTTTTTTTTATTATTATTATTTGTTTGCTCGTGCTTTTTTTTTTTTTTTTTTTTTTCCTCCTCCCTCTCTTCCTTTCCTTTCCTTTCCTTTCCTTCCTCCCCTCCCTCGGCCCATCGCATGCTCGGATCCGGCCGGCTCCTTCCTTTTTCTTTTCGGCGGTGCCGCTCGGGGGGGGCAGGGAGAGCTGCGATGAGTGCCGCCTGACGCACAGGCACGGCGAGGGGGGGGCCCCGCCGGCAGCCGCAGCCCGCTGGGGGCCGCAGGGCGAGGGGCTCGCTCGCCGCCGCCTCCCCCCTTCCCTTTCCTTCCCTCTCCTCTCCGCTCGGCGAGGCGTGAGTGCGAGGAAGAGGAGGACGACGAGGAGAGGAGGAGGAGGAGGAGGAGGAGGAGGGCCGCTTCGACTCGCCGGGAGGCGCCGGGGCTTGCCGTGGAGCCCCCCCTTATGTGAGCCCCCCCCCCCGGGCGGCTGCATGGCGATAGAGCGGCGCCGCGAGGGCCGGCCGCTGCCGGAGGAGAACGGCTCCGTGCCGGGGGCCGCCGCCGCCCCCCCGGGGCCGCCCCCCGGGGCCGGGCTGGGGGTCGGGGCCGAAATCCAGGCGGTGCCGCCGCCCCCCTCGTCGTCGTCCGCCGCCTGCAGCCCGCTGCTCCTCGACTACGACGGCTCCGTGCTGCCTTTCCTCGGGGGGCTGGGCGGCGGGTACCAGCGCACCCTGGTGCTGCTCACCTGGGTGCCGGCCCTCTTCATCGGCTTCAGCAAGTTCTCGGACTCCTTCCTGCTGGACCAGCCGGACTTCTGGTGCCGGCAGGCGGACGGGCAGCAGGGCGACTGGAACGGCTCCCTGGTCCCCCCCGGGCACGCCAACCGCAGCGGCATCTTCCCCACGGCCACCGCGCTGCCCGGCCCCGGCAACGCCAGCGAGTGCGACTGCCACGAGTGGCACTACCGGATCAGGGCCGGCCTGGTCCAAAACGTCGTCAGCAAGGTGAGGAGAGGGGCTGCCCGAGGGATGCTCGCCCCCCTGGGGCTGCCACCCCTGGGAGAGGCGCTGCGGGTGGGTGCCGCTAGCCAGGGAGGGCTCCCGTCGGGTCCCTGTGCCTACAGCCAGGCTGCTTTTGGGCAGAGGTGGGGATGGAGGTGGTGGAGAAAGTTCTGCTGAATCCCTCCCGCTTCGTAGTCGCTGCCTCGATAACTCTTTCCATAGAAAAAAAAAAAAAGGAGAAATGCCTCGCGCGAGGTGTACACCTCCCAAGGCACAGGGTGCTGCTCTGTTTCGTGGTTCTCCCACTGGAAAGGCTAAAGGGGAAAATTCCTGGTGTGTGGGCCACGCTGCTTTCTACCCCTGCTTCGTATTCGCCGAGTAGCATTTGTGAAAAGCCCACCTTGCCTTTTCACCTGCAAGGCTTCGCTCGCTTATCCTGCTGTCCACGCGGAAGCCCTGCCGCCCGTGTACGGGCCTCGCCGGTACTGACAGACAGCTGTAGTTCTTGGAAACGTAAAATGAAACTGTTAGACTGGGAAAGTAGCTCCCTGTGGCCGAAATCCCCCCGGCTCAGCAGAAATTACTTCCTGCGTGGAAGTGTTGTGGTGTGACTGTGCCTATCTGGTTGGGCGCGAGGAGCGGGGCAGCAATCAGATGACTGCTGTGGTTGTGCCATGGTCAGCCAGCACGCACTTGGATTAATCACTGAAAATCATTTTGGTTTATCTTCATGTCCCTCGAAAGCGTGCGCAACACTGGGAAAGCAAGCAGAGCAAATCCCCCAAAAGCTCAAACCCAGAATGGTTTTAGGAAAAAAAAAATAAAAAAAATAATCAACAAAAACCAAAACCCAACAAGCCTGCTGCACTCCTTCCATGAGAAAAACACAGGCACATGGTAGATGTGAATGGTGTGTGATGTAGAAGTGCATAATGAAATCTGACATTTAAGAGAAGCAGATTTTCTTCTGTTTATAACCAGAGACAGAGCTATTCATATGGTGCAGGGCTTAACACTGATGCCTGAGCGTGAAAAAATCATCTCGGAATATTCCTTTCGAGTGCAAACTGTTTAATTTTTATTTTTTTTTTTCAAACGCTGAGAGTCTTGTGAAGGTCATCATCAAGTTGACCACAGAAGGTCAAGGGAGAGTTGGTTTGCTATCTTGCATACTTCCTTAATAATAATAATAAAAAAGTGTTCTTTGGAAGAACTCACAGTAAAGGGCAGATCAATTTTAATGGATAAATAAACAGCTGTGGTCCCTGCTGTCTTGTTTTCTACTAGAAAGAATAATAATCATCTTTGGAGACTACATTTTTTTTTTTTCAATGCGGAGCTTTTGTTGTATGTTTGCTTCCAGAAACTTGGCAGCTTTTTCTCTTTGATTTGTAATCCCTTATAATTATAATTAGGTTGTTTTCACAGGGTCAGGATTCCTCCTTAGCTTGTGTTTTTGTTCTCTTTTGGGGTTTTCTGGGTGGGTGTGCTGGCTGTTTTTATCCTAGTGAAGAAAGGGAGGAAAAACCCAAACACAGCATCAGCATAGCCGAATTCAGGCTCTCTCATAAACTACCAGGAGCTCCGATAGTGTGGGAGCAGTTCTCGTAGCCACTGCCTCTTCTTGGGTGCATCTCACCGCCCTTTGTGCAGAAGGGCCCCGATGATGGATTCAGGAGCCTGGATGTTCAGACCTCCCGTAACTCCCCTCAAAAATACATTTGGTTCTGTAATGGATTATGCAATGTTCTCATCTTTCTAAATAGAGTTTTATTAAATCTGCCTTAGTCTAATATACAGTCATCTGTGTGGTAGCCAGTGGTTATATTGAAATATCGTAAAGAGAGCCAAAAGTATATTAATAAAAAAAAAATGCACTTGTATTTGGCTGTTCAGTCCCCTTATTCTCATCCTCAGCGGCCCAAGCTCATCTCCAATGGATGCTTTTCTTCAACGAAATGAGTGTGGTTATTTAGCGCAAAGCATATTTCCTGCTCCGCCTTCTGTCAATGAACTGGGGACAGTGACGTTTCACGTACCCTGGGAGCAGACCCTGAACTAGGATGGGTTTTGCTGTCTCCACAGCCTCATTGACCCATCCCATGGAGGCTTCCTCAGATGCCATCTCTCCATCCCTGTTTTTTCAGCTGTCTCTTTCCCAGCACCTGTTCCTGCGTCACACTTGGGGTTCATTGAGTCGAGACCTGGCCACCTCCAGCCCTTCTCCTGCTGGGCTGGTGGCCAGGGCCGGAGGTGGCCTCGCGTGCGCCTCGGCGAGCAGCCCTGCCCTCCTGGGCTGAGTCACGGGGAGCGTTGCTTTTTATAGTGCTGCCACTCATTGGGACCGGGAACGGTAATAAAAGACGTGCTGCTCATTATTTAATGCCGTTGAAATACATACAGCGAAGAGGTCAGATGTGTAACGTAACCACAGGAATTCCGGTGGCCGTGGTAAATCACAGATCTGAGCTCATGGCCTGGCTTGGGGCATAAATCTTGGACCCGAGCGTGGTTTGTACATAAATATCTCGAGGATATGTTCTCCAGGAGAATTCAATTGTAAGGCTGTTTCACCACTAAGCGTTTCTCTGAGGGTTTTCATCTATTCTTTGTCACATCATCACCATTATCACATCGCTCTGAACAGAGCGCAGCTCCATCACTTGTGAGATGCATATCCTCAACTAGCCTTGGGGCAAAAAGCTAGTTAAAGAAAATCATTTAAATGGGCTGTGTGTCTCACCACTGTCCAGAGGATGGGTGCTGAGAAATATTCCCCCTTATTTTCTTTTTGTTTTGTTTTGCGAAGGGGAAACCTGAGGTCTCCTTTTGCCTATTTGCAGAATGACAGTCCAGATGAATTACTACCATGAACGTAAAAAGCAACACAATCACAACAAAGCATATATGGTTGTGGCACATAGCAGGACGTTGGGGTGTGTTCAGCAGGGACTTTTCTAACCCTCTTGTCAACCTCTTCAGTGGCTGAACCTTCTGTCTGCATAGTCGGCTGTAATCTTGGGGCAAAGTTTTCATGGAAGCTCTTAGATATGGGGCTGGCACTTGTTGTTTTTCCCTCCTTTGCTGGGATGACTTTTCTGCTGTGTTGAACAGCATTACGTGGTGGTATGGTTTGTTCTTCTGAACCCAAATCCGTATCATGGACACCGAGAGCTGGTGATGGGCAGCGACTGAGGCTTGATTAAATAGCAGTGGATGGTAGCACATCATCCCTTCTGCACACGCTTGTGCCATTCCAGATCAGCCCCGCTCTCGGCAGTGGTGTAGGGAGAAGTGGCTAGTTGGAAGCTGCTTTTTAATCACCCAGAACAATTATGTAATAATAATTCATGTCTGGTCACACGGGAATTCCTGTTGTGGCTGCTTTTCTGCTCCAGATGCCTTGTTTTGCTGCAATGCTGTTCCTCTTGGCTCTTAGCTTCCCACTTGATTTGGGTTGAGTCATCGTCTTTCCCAAGTAACGTGCCGTGATTTTGCCGACCTACCGCTGGTTTGATCCTTCTCGTTCCAGTTTGGCTGAGCCTCCAGCTAACTTTATGCACACACACACACCAAAAAATCAGAAGGGAAGCATAATTCAGGAGACCTCCCCTTCTCCCTTGTGCTCCGGGGGCGATGCTGCCCAGCAGTGAGCTTGGAGCAGTGCTGTCTTGGTGTGCACATGGATCAGTTCAGGCAGCGACATGATGCTATTTGCCCCTACAAAGGTATGTCTTTGTCCTACCTTTTCTTCCTTTGTCCTGCTTTTCTTCCTTTTTGACAGTTCTGGCATATTTCTGGACTGGTCTTCAGCTGATTTAGCTTGCTAACCTGGCAGATTTTTAAATACTTTTTTTTTTTTTTCTTCCCTGGGTTTTCTGTCAGATTAATGAAGTGAAATGGCTCTGCATGGTGACACCTGCCCTGGGCTGTGGTGGTGTCTCATGGGATTATTGCAGGTACCTGCAAGTAATCAGGAATGTTACAACACAAAAATCTCTGTGTGATAACAGCAGAGATGAAGCTTGCACTGCTCATTGGGTGGCATTTCTTGGAGAAGGGGGTAGGTGTGCATTTCAAGTGCACTTTCAGAATGCAGTTATTAATTCAGAGGGATCCCCAACAAGGTCCTTCCCAAAAGGAAGGGTGATAAAGCACTGGTGTAGGTTGCCAAAGAGGTTGTGGACTCTCCTCCTTGAGGATGTTCAGAAGCCATCTGGATGTGGTCATGGGCAACCTCCTCCAATTGTCCCTGTCTGAGCAAGGGGTTGGACCAGGTGCCCTCCAGAGGTCCCTTCCAACCCCAGCCCTTCTATGAAAATCAGAGCTGTGCCACCCTTTCCAGGCACAAATGGGAGGAAATCTTTGTTCTCTTCTGTGTATCCCATAGCTGGCTGGCATCAGAAAAGACTGCAGAAATGCTGATGCTTCTCTTTTGTTTTTTGTTTTTTTTTTTCATGCAACCACCAGGATTTTTCTTGTCAGTGTTGGTTCATGGCTGACTAGCTTCTACTTGGTCCCAGATAATTAAACCCTTGAGTTATCGTACCCAGTGCAGTAGCTGGGTCAGAAGCAGCAAGATCAAAGCTAGCGTATTGCCCGTGCTCTTGCTTCCATTTTACAGGTTCAAGGGGGTGAAGGGACCTGCAGAGCAGATTCTTGCATCACGCAGGAGGACTGATGTAAATTTCTTTCAGACAAGGCTTTGAAATGACTAACTCTGTTCCAAACACGTGATAAAGGGGTCAACAAATCTGCGTTCTGGTTATCGGGGCACTGACGAACACCACCCTAAAAGAAAGTGCATTCCTGGCCGAGCAGCGTGCAGGACGTGGCGGGTGTTTCGGTGACAACACCCCTCTTCCCAGGTGCAGCGCAGCTGTGCAGAGTTGCTTTCTGTCTACCTGCAAACATGACGTTATCTTATGCCAGCATGCGAGATAACCAGCTGTGATCTCACCAGACAACAAACACGTGTCTTGTGAGCTTAGATGTTCTTTCAT